AACACCGCTCTGGAAGGCACATCTCTACAGGTATGCCCCAATAGAAATGTTTAACTAGCAAGCCGCTTTTAAAGCTATTTTAATGCTAGTCAGTGTCAACATCACCAAACTTTAAATTTAAAATTAGTGTCTTCACTAGTATTTTGTTGGACAGTACAGCTGCTTGTCCCCATATAAACCTATGTCAGTTTGGTCTCTCTGACTCTTGCTATCCTGCTTTGCATTGTTTTTGTCACTCAAGCATTTGCCCTTTTCACTTTAGACTGGTATTTGGTCAGATAAGTGCCCATAACATATAACTTCACTAAAAATTGCCATCACTTTCATGATGTCCCTTGATGACTTAATACACCTCCTAGCCAGTTGCTGTAGAAAACTCTGAAGCTAATGAAAATGTAATTAACATTGCTTTGAAGTTTTAGATTTATAATATCCTGTAACTGACATAACACTTGTAGTAAAGTTGTAAATATTTATACATATGTATTGTTTTGGTTAGAATGGATAAGATTTTTTCTTTTGCACCGTGTAACAAGAACACATACGAGAGGGACAAACAGGCGAACATGAGAAGGGAAGGGCATGAACCCCATGGTAAATACACAATACAAATACAAAAGTATGTGTTTTACTATCAGTTCAGAGTCATAGTGAGCCATCGACTCAGTTTTTAGTGCCACAACAACCGGTGGTACATACTAATGTATTTGTCATGATATGTAATTCTGTTACTCAAAATGCTTCTTCACAGCAGGGGGCTTCTTTGTTGTTCTGCAATAACCTAATGTTGACATGTAAAACCACTGCTGATTGTAATTCAATCCTTCCTGCATGTACTTCACAAAACAAGTAAATAGTATGAAGGCGGGGGCAGGATTTTTTAAAATGTGAAACTAGAAGTTTTGATGGTGCGATTTGGGCTAGCTTATCACAAGCAAAAACAGACTTCTCCCCAAAACTAGATTTTCACATGCTCTTTTCAGTGATGTAGAAACATTGTGGGGCTGAAATAAATGTTTTCACGTCTCACAAAGCTTGACAAAAGCAGCTCAGAAAGCAGCTCGGAAAATGAGGACTAATGTTGCGTGTCCTGTACTAACTCTTAGTAGCAAGGGTAAAATTTGCAACATGTTAACTTACACTTAGAAGATTGATCCCGATGAGTTTTGCGGTATTAGTTTTACACATTTTAAATATGGGGAAGAGAGAGAGAGCCTTGACATTTGATCACTACATGGTAGGGATCACTAAATTGCTTTGCAGTTGTAGATTTACTACGTAACAAATGTAATGAAAATTACGAGTTAACCCTAGAGTTTGGGTTATCGATGGCAATCTGTTTTCCTCTTTTGTAGTGTCTCTGAAAAATGCTATGGAAGGAAAAAAATAGAAACAGCATGGTCTCAAAGCAGTGATGAGACTTTTTACTAAAGCCTTATCGTCAAGGGCAAACTAGCCACTATGGCTGAATGCAAGACCTGCAATGAAACAGTGTAAGACTGCTGAACATCCTGTTCTGGCTAGTCAAGAACCCCGTGGTAAATCTGGGCATTACATAAAAATAAAAAGCCATATGATAGATATTGTTACAGACTTTTGTTGTTGAAGCTGCTGGTTCCTGTTGAGCTTTGGAACGTGCAATAAGTGTTATTAGCACAGGTCACGGTTGAGCCAAAATAAAGAAGCTGATTTTTATTCTTTTACCTGTAGGAGATTTATTATAACCTTCTGTTTTATTTTCAACAGAAAACTACTGTCCTGTTATGTCAACAAAGTAGTTAACTAGCATTTGAATACTTCATCCCCAAGGGAAGGGTTCTGGATTTCATGACCTCTGTAATAGTCTAATAAACCCTAATTAGCAAAAGGCAGCTGGTTCTCAGGAGAAGGATCAAACTTTAGCTCTTGAAGTTTCCAGTTGATGAAGTTGTAAACTATATTTTTTTAATTCTAGCTTTTTTTACTAAAGGGAAAGAGGAGGCCTGTTAGCATGACTAGTGACTTAGTTATGAGTAAGGCTTTAGTTTAGAATGAGGGACATAGTCTATATGTTACTGAGACTAAATTTAGAGTTATTTGGACGCTGTTAACACTTGTAGTTTTTTTTTTTTGCTACATAAGAATTGTCCTTATTTTGTAAGTGTAACTATAAATTAAATATTTAGTTTAGATTACAATATTCTCTTAATAGAAATACCCCATTCTTTAATTCCTCCATGCTGGAGTGTCGCTCCATGCTAGCTAAGAAGGAACTAAGAGGGAACTCCGTGTCATTACATGCCAGCCAACAATGGACGTTTCTGTAATGCAGTCAATAAATAAAGTGCAGTCCTATAAAATTTAGATTGAAGAAACAAGTACATTGCAAAATTGATAGAAATCTTGTCTATAACTGGTCAATTTCATTTCACAATATTTGGGGACAGAATTATACCAAAGGTTTAGTAAAAGTTGATAAACCTGTTTTAGTGATTACTTAAAAAAATAGGATCATGCTGCTGAGCATTTTAGTCCTAATTTATAATTATGAAGAGCAAATACAAAATAAGATAAAGATGAAGGCCCTTTAAAAAGGCCTACTTCATCAAATGACCAAGCACCACAGACAAACCTGAAGAGAAAGTTTAAATGACTGCACTAGTGTAATAAGACATTTTATATAATTGAACCCTGGATAAAGTACCTTTTGCTGCTAATACTGCAATCCTTGATATTTGTGCATGCATCCAAGTTATTTCTGAATAACAGTTAAAACTGTAAATTCTCAATAAAGTGGCCCTGAATATTTTTGGATCACAGAGAAATGTTTAAATATTACTAACACTGATGTTAAAATTTCCATTTTTGAATGAAACAAGAAGTCTTTAAGAGATACAAACACTCATTAGCTGAAAAAAATTAACCGCATGGAGGTCCCCTCTTTGGTAGGTAGATACTGCTCAAGGATCCAAGTGCCCTCTTGGCAATTTCTTGAAGACAATGTTCTCGTTTTATTTTCACAGACCCCATCATTGGCCTATGGTAACCCCTCCTAGTCTCTTATCATTGGCTCACGGTAACTCTGCCCACCCTCTTATTTTGTATGTGACAGCATGTGGGAAATAACTGGTGAGGGGTTGGGGGCCGTTACTTCTGGTACAACCAGATTATTAGATAGTCTGCAGTTCCAAACTCTTGTCTCCGGCTGATAAAAATAGGTTCCTGTTTCGAAAACGAACTCTGTCTGATAAACCCAGACCGTTTTTAACAACCGGAGTCTAGGGTTATAGATAACTCTATTCCATAACTGGTCTACAAGATTACCTGAAGATGCTAATGACAGTTAAAACACACAACTTGATGTGACTCATTGAGAAAACAGAGGGAGGGGAGGGATGGAAGGAGGTCCGGGGGTGGAGCACATTCCTCAATTCAGCCCTGGACAGCCTATGCTACACCAGAAAGAGAGAGGACAGAGAAGAAGAGACACAGACTCTAGAAGGATTAAAGTTTTAAGACTCACAAGTTTAAGACTAGGCTACAGCTTTGGAGTGATAATGATGGCAAGTTTGTAAGACAAAGCACTAGCAAAGATTTTACAAAGTTTAATTTTGGAACTCTCTTATATTAACTCTTATTTTGCTGCATGCTGTTGAAGGTAATTTAAAATGCTGTTTAATTTTAACTCACTGTTATACTATTTTAATGTAATTATTTCAATTTATTCTTTAGTTCTTTAATGATGGTAAGTTTGTCACACAAAGCTTTAGCAAAGATTTTGAAGGTAATTAAAAAATCTGTTTAATTTTAACTCACTGTTATACTATTTTACTGTAATTATTTCATCTTATTCTTTAGTTCTTTAATGATGGTACGTTTGTCACAAAAAGCTTTAGCAAAGATTTTACAAAGTTTAATTTCAGAACTCACTCTTATTTTGCTGCATGCTGTTGAAGGTAATTTATAATGCTGTTTAATTTTTACTCACCGTTATACCATTTTACTGCTTTACTGTCATTATTTCAATTTATTCTTCACTTGTTTAATAATAAAGACTGACTTGATTCCAAAGAAACCTCCTACTGATCCTTTGCTGGCCCCGGAGATTCCTCCTTTACTTATAACTCACTGCTATACTTTTTTAATGATAAATTTATTGTCACAAACACCTCCTAGTTAATTCATTCAAGTTGTATTACTTAATAAAGTCTTTAAATCAATAAAAAACACACAATGGAAGGATGTACGCAACCCTCTTATCAGTTACACACAGACATATTTCCGTTTGGGCGGGACAGGATGCACCCCCTCTTATCAGACATCCGGTGGGGGGGCGGGACCGGAAATAGCTGTCAAAAATGAGTTTGATGGAATGTCATTTATAATTCTCTCTCTTGTAGACCAGTTATTAACTATGGTTATCTATAACCCCAGACTCCGGATGTTAAAAACGGTCTGGTTTCATCAGACAGGGTTCGTTTTTGAAACAGGAACCTATTTTTATCAGCCGGAGACAAGAGTTTGGAACTACAGACTATATAATAATCTGGTTGTACCAGAAGTAACGGCCCCAACCCCTCACCAGTTATCTCCCACATGCAGAGCAGCACTTGGGCGTTTTTTTGTCTTTTTTTTTTCTTACTTCTATAAGTACCCTACCAGAAATCCAGAGGTCTTCACACTAGTGACCTGAAACCAGAGCGATGACCCTTCAAAGAGAACACGGTACGCATTCAGCCTTTCCTCCGTAACTTAAGAAATAGCAAAAATCGACACTTTGTATTTTCATTCCTGCGTGTTTTCAATTAACTGTTGTGGTACTACAGAGTCTCCCCACTACCTTGTGTTCTTTTGTTCCCCCCTTCCCTGTGTTTTCTGTCTGTTCTCCCTGTCTGTGTTTGTCTGGGCGTGGCTACACTCTCTGGCTCTAGCGGCGCACCTGGTCCTCATTCCACTAATCAAGCTCCTGCAGTATTTCAACCGCAGTCCTCCTCACATTCTTCACCAGATCGTCAGTTAACCACATGTGGTACATGCGTCAAGGCCGACAATCTTCTCCTGTAAGAATCCTAGTAATTTCTGGCTCTCCCTGGATTAACCTGTTTTTCTCTGTGCCCAGGATCACACTACCTCCGGGAACCCTGCCGAACGCCACACCCCGCTCAGCACCTATCTTACCTGGACTTACTCCCCTCCTCCGTGTTCTCCATTCTGCCCTTTCGTCACCCCTTCAAACTGTACCGAGTCTGCCTTTGAGTCCTCAAGTTTTTGCACTATGACATTAACAGTTTTTGACTTAATCGACAATGAGCTTCATTCAACCGCATATCACCTTGAAGGTAAGAGGGCCTTCTAGAAATGTTCTATATTTTAAAGTGTCCTATCCTGATGTCTATTTTGTATATTGTTTTTACAGATTTCTACTCAGAGGAGCAAATACGGACTACAAGGGAGAATGGCATTCCATCAGAGCAGGTTGTAGATCTCTCAGGAGAAGTCGGTAAGTAAGGTTACCTTAACTTTTAATCAGTGTATAGGTTTTATTTATTTACAAACTTTTACGCAGATGTGGTAATACACCCGCAGATGGTGCAAGCAAATGTGAACAGTACTTTATGCAGGGTCTCTCCACTACCTTTTACGAGCCTTTTACGCCGCTGAATCAGACTGAGCCTATACCGATCAACGGACCTCGGAAAAGGAAACACCGTAGAAGGCTCATTTCAACCAGCAGTAGTAGGAGCAGCAGCAGGCCACCCACAAGCAGTAAGTGAAATTGTTTATTATAACGCTTGGGGGCTGTGCATTTTATTTAGCTCATGTAATATCATTAACCAGCCAACAGACGTCGCTCTAAAACCATTAACCTAGCAAATATGCAGTCATAATAAAATAGTATAGCCTATATACAGTTTCCCGTGATACCATGTTGCTGATTATTAGGCTATACAATTAATGAGTTAAAAGTAATCCACACTAATTTCTCAAATACAACACCATGTCAAATGTTCTATGCACCAAGTAGTCTTATGAGTTATTTAACCTGACTTTAAAAGCTATTTTGCTGCTTTTTCACAAAGTAGGCTATTACTGTGATGTTTGTTTTGCACTTCTACAGTGTTTTGGTACTGATGTCTGACATTCAGGGTATTTAGTTACAAGATAATGTAAGAGTTTTAAAAAACTTTAATGATGCCATGCAAATAATAAAAAAAACTAGTTTGCTATAAAGTATTAATGTAGTGATTTTTAAGGGTGAAGTCTGACTTTCATTATTAAAATACACAAGAGGTTAAAGTGTCTTTGTTTTTGTCTCCCTCCAGCAAACAGACCCTGACTATCCGTGAAAGGCTGTCAGAATTGCTGTTGGACTGCCATGATCAACTAGTTTTAATGAGTAATGCTTTCCGGCTAATGGGTGAAATGCTGGCTGTCTACAGTGATCATAATTAGTAAGGTGATTTATCTTTTATTTGTTTCATTGGGTAATTGTATGATTGTTGTGTTCACTTGCACAGTTAAACTTCGTCATTTTAATTTATGACGTTGATATTTCTTAAGGTCTAAGTGTGTTTTGATTTTATGATAATGGATGAAAACAAACCGTTTAACCTCGTCTGATCAGACGAGGTAGATCAACATTTTCAGAATGAGTCAAACTTTCAAAATGGTATAACTGAAAATAGGGTTAGTTAACTGAAAACGAGACCTCCTCCAGTCAGTTCTTAGATCCGTTGCACGCTATAAATCAAGCTCTCGTTGACCTGGAACGCTTAGAAAATGAAATACCAACTGCTTTATTAGATGAAATGAACCCTTTAACCAAAACAACATCCCCTCTTTAAATACAAAACGCTCACTCCGAGCTTGAAAATAATGCAATCCCTGCCTTAATCCCCTCCACATCCTCAGCCTACCAGACCCCCATTAACTCCCCCCTCATGGAGCAGGTAGCCAACGCTCCTCCCTTGCAACAGCAAGGGGGTAGCACGACTCAAAATATTGAACCTGTGCCACCTCAAGGAGTCATATCACGACATAGATTCTGTAATTATGAAATACGCCAGGTGTTGCGCTTTCCTTCTCCAACCAATGCAGAGGGTGTAGTGGATTATGCTCAGTTTTACAACGGTACACTGGAGCAGGTAGATGCGATTTTACAACAAGCCTTGTCACACAGGAGACCCCAAGATGTGGTGCAGTTGGCGCTAAGAGGGGAATTGTATAATCTAATTGGACCATTATGACAGACGGTGATCTAGAACTGGTTCTCCAAGTGATCACCTGCCCTACAAGGGCGGGTAAGAGAGCCATTTGGATAAAATGTCTTTCTGGGTTCCCCATATCTGTGTGAGTACTGTTACACAGGGTACAACTGTGTGCGGAGTCACAGATGCCCTGCTCATTGTTCCGTTTGCTATGACCCTACCTGTAATCAGAAGGGGTTTCAACGTGTTGTGTGTAAAGAGTGTAACAGGACATGTCGTTCAGAATTCTGCCTGCCTGACTGATCGTTGTGCAAAAAATTTTTAAAATGTGCACAGCTTTACTTCTCAGCAATGTGTGGTGAAGGTAAACCACACACGTCCTGCAGTGAAGTGTAAAATCTGTGGTGAGAATTTGACCTCTGACGTTACAGATGAATGAGATGCATCAGTGCTACATCCAGACACTACCACCTGAAACAAACGCACAGAAAAATTGGTGTTTTATGATTTTGAAACATACGTCAAGGAAAAGGTGTTCACATACCCTTTTTGGTGTGTACAAAAACGTTAGATGGAGCTCTCAAGGCAGAAATTGTGCCAACGAGTTTCTCATGCATTTCAGACGCCTGCTGTGTTTATTGCTCACAATGCTTGAGGTTTTGACTCCTACCTACTCAACGTGATGCTTGAACAGCATTAAAACCCTCTTTGATTTTGCAAGGTTCAAAAGTCATCTGTATGACAGATCCTGATTTTAATCACAAATACATTGACTCACTGTCCTTTATTTCCATGCGTTTAGCCGATATGCCAAAAGCTCTCGGTTTCGATGACAGAATTAAAGGCTATTTTCCCCATAATTTTAGCTCATGCCCATTTGACCTACATAGGTCCCTACCCGGAGCCAAAAATGTACGGTACAGAACGCATGACTACGGTACAGCTGAAAGACTTTAACACCTGGTACGAGACGGCGCGCTGCGGATGCAAGCTGTTCAGAAAACAGTATAGATGAAACAGCGGTTGACCCGTTTAGCCGTGTGACTATAGCATCTGCAAAGTTTGGCCATCCCCGACCCCCAATAACTACACACGCCAGTTCAAAACGTATTCAAACGCAGGCATTCAGTGGTTGCAATGGGTGGCGAGCACTGAAAACATCTTCATTCAACATGCTTTAAATGGGGGGGGCAACTGGGAAAATACTTTGTAGATGGTTTTGCAGAGATCCAAGGTGTGAAATATGTATGGGAGTTTCTAGGATGTTTTTTTTTTTTTTTTTTTTTCCATGGCTGTCCGAGTTGTTTCAAAGCTCATGAGACCAATCCTTTGATCGGATACCCTTTTGAGGAGTTGCGTGTGAGGAGAAATTACGTGAGCTACAGGCCATCCACAATGCTAAAGTGATTGTCATGAGAGAGCACACATGGACAGAGATTAATCGTAAATAACATCAGGGGTTAAAAGATTTTCTCAATCAGTATAAAGCTCCTCAACCTCTCTCACCCCGCGAAGCTTTGTATGGTGGTCGAACCTGTGCAGTAAAGTTGAGAGACTGCGGGTGCTAATGAAACGGTAGACTAATTGAGGTGACATCGCTGTATCCCTATGTCAACTGTAGCTTTCCCTATCCTTTAGGGCACCCAAAAATAATCTACAAAGATTTCAAAGAACCCCAAAGCTACTCTGGAATAATAAGAGCCAAAATCTGTCCACCAGAGGTTTTTTTTTTTTTTTTTTGGCCATATAGAACTGCCGCTGGTAAACTTGTCTTCACACTCTGCCGAACGTGCGCTGAACTTAATTTTCAGGAGGGTCCATGTCAACACAGTGGTGAGGACAGAGCATTGACAGGGGTCTGGGTCACTCCTGAATTTAACAAGATGGGGTATCGGGTAGCTGAGGTCACAGAGGTATGGCATTTTGATAGACTCGGTTTTTGTTCAGTACATGCGCACTTTTCTGAAGGGTAAACTGGAAGCTTCAGGTTACCCCCTGAAGCCAAAGATCAGGCAGCCCGAGAAAAGTACATCAAAGACTATCAGACCAATCAGGGTATTTTGCTAGATGCGTCTAAAATTCATCCGAATCCTGCAAAAAGACAAGTCTCCAAATTATGTCATCACATTCTGGGGGAAATTTGCACAACACTCGAATCAGACACAGACTAAACTAATCACTGACCCTGAAGAGTTTAACTTTGTTTTCTGGAATTTATAAAGTTAAATACTTTTCCTTTGTCAACGACAAAACAGCATTGTTGCAGTGGAGTTATGGTGAGCAATGTATTGCCCCTCCAAACAAGGTAGATGACGTCTCTATAGCTGCTTTCACCACAGCTTATGGGCTTCTAAAGTTGTACAGTTATTTGGAGCAGCTGGGTCTTGTAACAGGGTCTTGTATCATAATACAGACAGTATTATCTATGTCACAAAAGAGGGGGAGAGACGGCTTGACCTGGGTAATTACATGGGAGATTTGACTGAGTTAGATGGTGATAGCAGAAAAGAATTTGCGGCCACGGGTCCTAAAAGTTATGCATACCAGACTTGTAACAACAAAGTAGTACTTCGTGTAAAGGGAATCCCCCTCAAACGCATGATTGTTGTGAACAAGTTAACTTTAACAGTGTCAAACAGTTGGTGGAGAATTATGTGCTAAACTCTGATGGGGGTGTCATTGAAACACCTCAGCACAATATTCTATGAGATAAAAGGGGGTTTTTCTTTTTTTTTTTTTCATTCCAGAAAAAGTTTAGAGTGGTGTATGACAAGAGATGGTTACTGAGCCAAGGTCAAACCCTGCCTTTTGGCTATTGAAGAAAAATGTTTTCATCCAATGAAATTGAGTTTGACCCTAGACTAAGAACACCTTTCTCCTGTCAAATTGTGGGGCCATGCGGGTCCGGTAAAACTTATTTTGTAAAGTCTGTGTTGGAATCCTGTAATCATGTCATCGACAACATGCCTAGTAATATTGTTTGGATTTTTACTTATCAACCGATGTACACTGAACTGCAACAGAAGAATAAAAAGATCAAATTTGTCGAGGGATTGCCTGATTCTTTTGACGATGAAATTCTATTCCCACCTGATCAAGATCATCTTATAATTTTGGATGATGTCATTTTCCAGGCCTCTGATCACCCTGAAGTTGTGAAAATTTTCACACAGTACAGGCATCACAAAAAAATGAGTGTCATCATGTTGACTCAAAATGTATTTCACCGTGGAAAGTACAGTAGGACAATTAGTTTAAATAGTAACTATTTTGTTTAAAAACCCTCACGATAGATTACAGATGAGTATATTAGCTCAACAAATATTTCCCGGACGAAAAGCCTTTTTCTTAGAAAGTTTTGAAGATGCTACCAAAGATCCTCACGGGTATTTAATCTTGGACCTCACACCTAGTTGCCCAGAAACTTACAGACTAAGATCAGGAGTACTACCCCCTTCCCAAATCAAAGTCCTGATCCAACATGTCAGCACGTTTAAAAAGGACTGCGCCTTTACTGAGGGCTTTGTCACGCCACGCCTCAAAAGCGTAAAGATATTCTCAACAATTGCTCATCGGACTTTCTTCAGTCTTAGTGTGAACTCTCTTTGAATCTTTTAAAAACAAAAGAAAATTATAAGGTTGCTGGCTTAAAAAAAAAAAAACAAGTCTTAAAACCAAACATAAGGCTCTGACAAAACAGTCTGGCGGCTTTCTGTTACCTCTTCTTTCAACAATCCTTCCTGTCATTTTGGGAGGGCTAATTAATAGATAAATCATGAGTCAGAAAATGTTTTTGGTGACGCCTCAGCAACTAAACCGGCTGAATCATTCTGTACCATCTGCATCCAACGCTGAAACAATGAGACAGAGGGCAATACTAAACGAGGATGGTATGAACGCTTATGAAAAAATTAAGAAATACAATGCCCTGCTGCAAAGATACCTAGCTCTGGTCAAACAAGGAGAGAAGGAAGAACGCCACATTACTCTGACAGTAGCTAAAAATTCTGAGGCACTGAAGCAGCGAGTAGAAAGAGAAGAAGACAAGAAACTGGATGAAACAGCAAGGGAGGTTGTACAAAACTTGCCGGCTCGCTATCGTAACAATGCACAGTACATCATAAAGAAATTAACCAAGAGCCGAGGTGGGTGGACTCCCAGGGGAGAGTTTGTGTATAATGGAGATGTTGTGAAAGGTTCACACCTACTAGACTTGTTTAAAAGTCTGACCGTCTCCCTTAAAAAATCCCAGCCTCCTAAGGGTTGGACAGGTTTTTTGAATACTTTGCAATATAGGCAACTTCAAACGGTAGGACACCGGGAAGATGAGGAGGTGATGTCCCTGCC